TATACATAAAATAGGTAACAACAAGGCCCTGTTGTATAACACAGGGAACTATATTCAATATCTTGTAATAACCTATAATGAAAAAGAAAAAATATATATGTATAACTGAATCACTGTGCTGTATATCAGAAACTAACACAACATTGTAAATCAACTATACTTCAATTTTTTAAAAAGGCTCTCTGGCAGGTTCCTGAAATGAGTAAGAAATCTTCCCTTCATGCTGACCTACTCTCCCATGACAGAGAGGGTCAATCTAATCCTTTTTTGTTAAGACATATGGTTTATCTTGGTCCTCATTAATTTGAATCTAGTTTCTCAGAACAAACGTTCTCTTGAGAAATTAAATAACAGAGAAAACATCTCAAAACAAAAAATAAGGGGAGAATCGTTTAGTTAAACTAAACTTTGAGTTAAATTAAAAGTTTTCATTTAATTAAATTACAAGTTGGTCAAAAATTAAGAAGTTTCCAGAGAAACTTCAGATGAATTTGCTTGTATTTGCAAATATCAAGTACAGTTGTTAAGGTTCTTAGTCTAGAGTCAGGCAGATACAGGTAGAGATTCCAGCTCCGACGCTTTATAGCTATGTGCCTTTGGGCAGGAAGCCATTTTCTGAGCTTGGCTGCCTGTGATATAAGCAAATTATGCAATTGTAAGTGTTTGACAAATAGCAGCCACCACCACCATCACCACTAACACCATCATCATTATCAAAGTCATCATCATCATCATCACAAAAAGTTTTGGCGAGGAGGGGATATGATCCAACTGTGCCTTAGGAGACGAATTTGGCAGGAATGCACAGAAGGAACTGGAGAAGTCAAGTGCACGAGAAACAGGAATGGTTTTATTTAGAATCTCTCTTATCTTTTTCATCACCCTCTTGCAACATCCCACACACCCACACACACCAGAGTAGAGTTCTGGAGTAGAAAACCTAATACTGAAACACAAACAAGGTAACGCTGGCATCTCTGCCCAAAGTGAGGAAGAGCCAAGCATCCAGACAGAAACACTCCCTCCTCTCCGGTCTTTATCAGGAGCTCAGGACTAACGGACAGACAGACTCCAGGCGTCTGCTTGGAGATCTTGCCCTCCACGCTCACTCGTGGCGCTCCTACATGGTCTATTTGCTGCCTACACGGTCTCTTTGCTGCCTACACTGCTGGCCATCTGTTAGGGTGGCATAGTGCCAGCTAACGGGTAGCACGCTGACTTTGCAGAAGCCCGGGGGCCAAGAAACGGTTTCCACAAGAAGCCCTTATAAAACTCACGTGGGTGCCGGGAGAGAGCTCCTGCCTGCCTCTCCTTCTCCCCACACGGCAATGCTGTGGGTGGGTTCTCCTCCACATATTACTTCACCTGTTGATGAAACTAGTTGGCTCTCCAATCTAAATCATGGAATCTGAAGAGGAAAATACATGAACCATGTGTAGGTACCTGTGGCTGCCAAACAGACAGGTGGTGTTATCGCCTGCTTTTTGGCAGGGCTGGTGGGGAGCAGCAGGGTTTCCATCAACACTCTGCTAGTGCCTCCTCTACGTCCCCAGGTTTCTCTCCGTCACCACGATACCTCCCTCTTTTTCCCAGTCCTCACAGTATCTGTGAGGTTTAGCAAAGATTTCTTTGCTTGACTTGTTCTCCACCCGTGTCCACATTAACTTAAATAGAAAATATTAAAATATGTTCATGTAAGTGATTCTTATAAGACACAAAAAAAGATATTTAAATATATTTTGTGTTTTAAACCAATGCTTTTGTGTGACAGCACTGTTTTATAATTACATTATAGAACATATGCCCTTTGGGGTTGATAGAACCAGAAGAGAAAATGTCAATTTTAAGTTAATAAAATGAAAATAATGACCAATGCATTTTCAGTTTATATTCCATTAGGTATTAGCTTTTTAAAAGAAACAGAGAAAGAGCTCTAACGGGGAGAGTGTGTGGTAATAAGCGTAACAAAAAC